GACTGGTTGACCTAGTTTGCAAGACCTCACAAGCCATATAGCTGTAACAAACTAAAACCTATGATGATAATCCTAAAAATACTGTTTTTTGCATTGGATAGGATAGCAGGCCACTAAGTTTCTTATCCAGTTTCTCATAGGGGTTCATGTCATTGTGGGTGCACTTCAATAGTTAGGGGTCTCACGGAAGAGCTTTATCAATCCTGATTTTAAATTTTTTCCAGCTATATGTTTGCTCAAAGTAATTTTTAGTGTGAACCTCCGATAATTTCCATTGTTTACATTTCCTGTTACTGTTTTTATTTATTAATTTTTATTATTATTATTTATTTATTTTATTTATTTTATTTTATTTTATTTTATTTTATTTTATTTATTAATGAGACACACACACACATACACACACACACACACACAGAGGCAGAGATATAGGGAGAGGGAAAGGCAGGCTCCATGAAGGGAGCCTGACGTGGGACTCGATCCCGGGTCTCCAGGATCAGGCCCTGAGCTGAAGCAGGTGCTAAACCGTTGAGCCACCTGGGCTGCCCCCCTTATTACTGCTTTTAAGTAAGAACTTCCCCTAAGTTCTTAATAATTTTGAAAATTCTAGTTGGAGATTTGGGGCATTGGATAAATCAAAGTCAAGTGGTTTTCTACACACCCAAAGTCACTTAGGAAGACAGCTACCCAGGCAAAACCACAACATCACTACTTCAGTCTGTCATAGAGATAATTTCTTCCTCTTCATTCTTTCTCACCAGGGAGTGAGGATTGTCCTATCGTTTTCCATTAGAAATACAATTTTCTAACTGAAGACTGAGATACAAACTGGCCCCAAACAGAGCTCCTGCTGGTTTTTGTTCTTTTCGTTGTTGAAATATAGTTACAAGCTCTGCTTTTGGAAAATAGGAAACTTCTGTCCAGACTTAACCACAGTTTGCAGCCTTGATATAGAAACTTCCTTTTAAAACAACAACAAATGGAATCGGGCTGTCAGACTAATGATGCATGATTACTCTAAACTGGATTAAAGCCACTTAATTTATCACACAGTGTATTGCCATGGCAGTGTTCAATTTAATATCCACCATCTGCATTTTCTGGAAATATAGCTGCATCCCCAATAGCGTCTCATGAAATTACAGCCTGCAAAAGGGAAGACAGATGATGAATATTGAAGAAAAAGGATTTTGACTATAATTGTGTATAAAAATGATAAAAATCACTATCCTGGGAGGTAAGGAGAGAAAAAAAGTCTTATTTCATATTCCTTGGAGGGGACAGGGCAGTGTAGGATCTGTCTCCCACTTCCCCCACCGCCCTACACACAAAGGAGTCAATGACAAAGCAACTGAAATTTTAATTGGTTTTCTGGAGTAAAATCAATCATACACTTTTTAAAGGTAGGTGAATCCTTTCTGGGAACTAGCTACTGATGTATTGCACATAGTAGGCATGGAATATATATTTGGTAGATTTATAAAGGAATGAATGAACTAATTTGACAAGTACAAAAACCAGCACTGATCACAATTATGAGATTTCACCACTCAGGCAATATCTCTGAAGCTGTGATAAATCATATGGCCATTTGTCAGCATTTCTAGCTCTGTTTTCTTTGTGAGCACATAAGAAGACCACACTTGCTTTCTCCATGAAATGTAGGCACGGCTACATGAGCCATGAAACGTAAGTAGAAGTGACTTACGTTCCTTCTGGGTTGTGTATCTAAGAGCTGGCATGGGATCTTCCATGCTGCTCTTCCCCTATAGCCGTGGTTTTGGAATCATGAGTGATATGGAGAAGCTACAAGATGGAAACAGCAGCCTGGATTGTTAAATCATCAATTGACTCTGGAGAATTGCCTGGATCCACAGCAGACTTTCAGAATGAAATAAACCCTTGTGTTGTAAGCTGATATATGACAGATGGTATATTCCAAAGATGATCAAGATGGCCCATAATATCACCCATCCAGCATGCTCTTCTTTGGTGTAAGTTTACTATTCTCCCATCAGGAAGTAGATTATATTTCTCCTCCCCTTTGATGTGAGTGTCTGAAGTGATGCTTCATGATTATGGAAATTGAGTCAGAAAAGGTCAGAAAGCTGCTCTTGCCGCTTTGACCCTTTTGGAACACTGGCTCATTGCATGATGGCTCTCTGAATCCCACCATCACAGACCCCAAGCCACACAGAGAGTTCACACACAAGAGGCTCTTGTTACGAGTCCCACTGAGTCTGAGTTATCCCAGCCAGGCACCAAACATGTGAATGAAGAAGCTTCTAGATGATTTCAGCCCCCAAGCCATTTGAGTGTTCCCAGAGGAAACCCCAGATATTATGCAGCAGACACAAAACATCACCGTGATATTATGTCAGATTTTCTGATATACAGAATGTGTGAGCATAATAAAATGATTGTTATTTACCACTAGGTTGGGACAGTTTGTCATAAAGCAACTGGTAATTGGAACATACTGATGGAATTTGTTTGTTGCCACACTGTAATTTAGCCCATTTTAATATGAAGGTGGTTTTTTCTTTCTGAAAGTCAAAAAACATAAATAACAAAGATAAAAAATAGTATTTTCAGTTTTTGGTAGTAGTGCCCTTTATGATGCCACCATAATGGGTAAGTTTTACAGCCTTAATCTGTGTGATCCATCCTCCTTAACTATGAACCACATTCCCAATACCTCATTCCTGTATGCAAGGTTTAATCAACAATTTATTGGTGCATGGCAATTTTGATTGTTTCATCAAGGTGAGATTTATCCTGTAAATAACTGTATCCTTCTGTACCTCTAGAAAACAGATGGTATATTGGAAAATATTGGAAAATATTTACACATGACAAAATGCTATGCAGAAAACTAGGAAGCTCAAATTCTGGAATGATCGGTAGGTACTTCAGGACCAGCTGGCATCTAAGCCATTGCTATGCTAGATGTAAGCTTCGGATAGTGCCGCATAAGTTGGGATACTTCTTAGGACATGTTCCTCTTCCCTTTCAAACTATCAGCACCAAAAAGTTTAACAAAACCACGAGAACAAGTTAGGCGTTTACATCACATTATATTTAGAAGCACAGATGCCGGGAATGGAAAAGCATAGAATAAAATTGCCAACACTGCACATAACAATAGTACTGATTAGCTTAATCTGAAGGTTCTATAGCTCTAGGGACAAATGGACGCCATGAATCCACAGTAATGCCATGCTGAGTACGGTCTATTTTACAGTTTCTTAATTAAACATTTTAGGCCAATTTTCATTATTTATAATGTGTTGGGAGACATGTATCCCAGAGAAAATATAAAATTTATACTGTTATAGTTTGCAGAGGAGACTAAATATTCTAACAAGGGAGAAAACCAATCCAGAACAAGGAACCAACTAAATATTGAAGACAATGATGTATATATTATGATTTCCTGCCATTCCTATCTCACTCACAGCAATAAGACTGACAGAAAATGGGGAGAAGCATATAAAAGCCCACACAGTAGGGTGAGGTGCACATTTGCCAAGTTATCAGACAATCGAACAGAGGCGAGCTAGGGTATTGGAAAAAGGCATAGAAACTTGCTACTGGCAAGACCTGGAACTCAATCGCAGCTCTTCTGTTAACTTGCCATTTGACTTTAAGCTAATAACCTTCCTAAGTCTCAGTTTTCTTATCCTTAATATGGGGAAAATAATAGCCAAGCCATCATGCAGGATTATTTTAAGGAGGGGTAATCATGTGTATAAAATAGTGGTATATTGTGAACACTTAATAAAGGGTGATTGTCAAATCTTCGTAAGAAAGATAATTAGCAAAATCTCTCCAACAAAAGCCACATGCCTTAACCTTTGGAGTTTGTTGCTTCTTCTTCTGCCTAGAGAACTGTGATTTAAATTTAGATAAAGGCTTCAGATTGTCCTCTAGTTTCACTCTTCATTTTGCTCCTGAGGCCAACTCGCTGGAGATTTCATTTCTCAAAAATTATGTAATAACCAGTCTCAAATCTGCCTGCTCAGGTCTGTGGGCCAGCAACTCAGAACCCCATGTATGAAGCTTTATTCTACACAAAAGCCATATACACAACTAACCAGTAAGCCCTGGTTTCCTTCTGGGCTTTCGTCAAAACTGAAATGATCATTTTTATATAACAAGCAAGTGAAGGAAGTGATTTGCAAGCCAATTATTCACACACACAGCCAGTATTGCATTCTAAGAATTTTTTTCATTTGCTCAGAGTGGGTTGGTCCTTTTGTGATTGTTTTTCTCCCTCCTATTTCTCCCTCATGTCTCTGCTTGCTGCCCCCCATCCTTCTACTCCATCACACACACACACACACACACACACACACACACACACACACACACACACTATTATTTCTGCAAGGCTACAGGAAGCCAGCAGCCCTGAAGACGATGACTGCTCATTTGGTTAAGACTGAAGCAGTAGCCAAATCCCAGGTGTCATCCCAGGCTGCTTCACTTTTACACAAAAGCCCAACGATGAGATTCCTTGCCTCCAGAGAGAGCCCTGCTAACAGATTTCAAAATCAATCACACAGGATTGACAAATCCCTTAACTGGTATTGATAATAATTTTCTCAGATGCCAAGAGGATTTGTTGAAACCTTCAAATAACTGCAGTTCACCAAAACCAGATTCTAAAGTTGAGGATTAAATAAAATACATGTCAATATATCTACTGTGCCGAGTGGAAGGAACAGTTTCCAGGAAGAAGACTCATAGAATTAGCAATCACTTAAGCTGGAAAACCTCTTTGAAGTAAAGGCGTCCAACTTCTTGGTTTGCATTTGAGGAAGCAAAGGTTCTGAGAGCTACAATTGGAAGCACAAATATTTCAGGTGTAGAAACTCTTGGAGGCTAGGAAAATAATGTCAAAGCTATTTTAGTGCCTTAATACTTCATGAGACACTTTAAACTTTATGGTTACTTAGTCTTATACTGTTCTTCTTATATTTTACTTAATTACTTACATTCTTATTTATTCTTTGCCATGATCACAAGGGATTCAAGGTTGTATCCTTCAGATCTGAACAAAATATTACTACCAGCAGGGACGCTTGCGTTCTGAGCTGTTTTCTCAACAGGAGTGATGGGTTTACACTCTCTTGTTGGACCCATGCTTCAGTCAATTCCACTCATTTGTGAAGCTGAGGTGAAGTGTGTGGCCAAGAAAGAGAGTGAAACTAATTTGTGAACACCTACAAAAAGAACACCTCATTAATTTCAGAATATAACCAAATGAGCTAACTGGTTTTACTTCTCTGATCACATAAATCATAGCTAAAGAAAACCACCCCATCATCAACTGTTCATAGCACAGAAGAACAATGAACAAAGGTATAAATTATAGTATGGGTAGGACCAAATATTTGTTTAAACTTTTGCTTAAATGGAGGCCATTAGTATTTAATGACCCCTGGGACGTGGATGCTGTTTCTGAGCTGATGAAATGGGCAACTGTCATCCACATTCTTAAGATGTAGGAACTGAGGCTTGAAAAAAATTAAAGGTCTTGCTGGAGATCCCGAAGCTAAGGAGGGCCGCGCCCAGGACTGATTCTACTCGACCCCAGTAATTTTAGGTTCTGCCCTTTTGATTAAAGGTACAAAATGGAGTTCAAACAAAAGATATGTATGATTTCGCAAACAAGCTCTGTCCAACTGTGAATACTAGTGTACAAAAAATACATACACATTGCTTGCATGGGCAGAACAATACAAGCTTCCTCTCCCTTCTTATTGAAAACCTTTTGCTTTTATTTTACTTCAAATCATCCAGGGGCTTTTTATTGGCTGCTGCCAGTAATATGGTTTATAATTATGTTTACTCCTATGTTACAGAAAAACAGAGCAACTTTATCTCTCCAGATGCTTAAGCCAAAAAGCTGTGGAATCATCCTTGACTCTTCTCTCTTACCACTCCACATGCAACCCACTGGCAAATCCTGTTAACTCTACTTTAAATGAGATTTAAAAATGAAACCTTCTCTCATTTCTTCACTGCCACCACTTTGGTCGAAGCGATGGCATTTGCCTGGATGATTGCATTGGCCTTCTGGCTGGCCTCCCTGCCTCTCTCTTTGCCCCTTGCAGCCCATTTCCAGCATCAGCCAGTATAATTCTTTTAAAACATAGTAAGATCCAATATATGGATCCAAACATACGGATCCAAGGATCCATAGTAAGATCCTTACTTACATAGTAAGCCAAGATGGCTTCCCATCTTGCTCAAATAACAGTCCTACTCATTATAATGACCTACATGAATTTTCAAGATCTGGCCTCCAGACCTCTCTCTGAAATCACCACTCCCCTCACTTGTGCTCCTCCAGTCTCTCTGGTCTCTTTAATGCTCTTGGAATATATTACGCGTGTTCCTACTTCAGAGCTTTGCACTTGCCACTTCTGCTGTCCACAATACTCTTTCCTCAAATACCCTCCATGGATTGGTCTCTCAACTCCTTCGGGTCTTTGCTCAAAATTACCATGTCAGTGGGTTCTTCACCAGTTCTTTCCTTTGACCCAGCCAAGAAGGGCAACTGTCCCATATCTCCCTCTTTAGAGGGGACTGCTCTCATTTATCCCTTTCCAAAGGGGCAAAGAGTATGCAGGGCTAACGTGAGGTGTCTACTGAGAGCCCACTCCCTCTCCCCACTCCTAGAGAACATTCTGAGCAACCAGAGTTCCCTGCCCCAGTGGTCCAACCCCACTTCTAGGACCATGCTGCCAGTGGGCACATTCCTAGGCCCGAGAGGAGGACGAGAGGCAGCCGTTTATGGGGTGAGAGGCAGCTGTTTATGAGGTGCATTCATGGAACTTGGAGTTGTGGGCTGGAGCATTCACACACATGTGTTTGAAAGTTCTCATGGTATAGGACCGTGTTGAGAAGGGAAAAAGTGGGAGTGGGGAGGGACACTGGCTAGAGACAGAACATTTCACATTCTAGGATAGAGCTCTGAGGGTTTGAAAACTCCAAATCTGAGCATTGCCAAGATGTAATGAAGGTATGTGGTCAAGGTGGGACATTAATCTATGATTGGCTTCATAGTTTATCAAGATTTAAACATATAGCAGGCAGTCCTGTACTTGTACCTTTCCCCCAAGCCTTGCAAATACTAGAGGTGTGTCTAACCTTCCATGACTGCTCTATTTGCAATTGCTTCTTTTCCCATGGACACTCCATAATATTCTTCCTTTCTTTTTATTTATCTCTTTAGCACTTGTCACCATCTGACATTTGCTTAGTTTATCTCCTACACAGAGAACATAAATTCCATTGATGGTGCTGTTTATTGCTATGTCCCTAGCACTAAGAATAGCCCCTAGCAAATGGAAGATAACTTAATAAGCATCTGCTGAGTGGATGAATGGTCAATGGCTATCCTCTAATAAGCACCTACCATTTTGCATGTGTTATGCCACTTAACTTTAACCTAGCCCTGTGGGCCTACTTGAAAAAATCCCATTACTATTTCCATTTTTCAGTGTAGTCTCAGAGGGCTGGCATAAAAGAAATGATATCTAAGGTGGTTTGGACTCAGCTTTCCTCAAAATGTCAAAAAACATTAATTATTTGATCCTTCTATAAATAGAACTTTATATACTTGGGCTGAGAGCAATGTCTAGGATCTGAAATAGGCACTTTTCCCCCATGTATGGGGGCAGAACTCTCACTGGTAGTCCAAATTTTTATTAGCACAATATTTTCTTGACTTCTTATGCAAGGCATGGATTTTTGGAAGAACTCATGGATGCTCCAGGGAGGCTGAGGTACAGATGCTATCATATCAAGTCTGCTTAACCGCTTCCTGGTTGATGAGATATCTCATCAGGGAGAGGACTTGTCCTCTTCCCTTAACAGAGCATAGCTTGGTGTGGTTCTTAGGGATTGCTTATACCACATTCAATGTAAGGTCAGAATATAGATCAGAAAGTTGGACACAGGATCACAGCATGTCCACACTGGACAGGACCCTGGGCCTCATTCATCCAAACACCTTGTTTTATTCATGAGAATCTGGGGTTCCAAAACCCTTGGACTTCTCCTTTAAGCACACATAGCCTCATCTCTTGAAAATGACTGGAAAGCCTAAAGAAGGGGAGTAAAGAACCAAAGAAGTGAAATCCTGATGATTTTATCCTCTTTTTTTCCCCTAGAGATTATAATTCCTCTTCTTAGAAGTCATCTGTTTTCTTGTTTTAACACTGTTTTGGGTAAGTTTTGGCAGTTTTTAAAGGGAACCTTGAACCTTTTGTGTGTGTTTTTTCTATCTAGTATCTCCTTTCCAGCTGAGGAGACTACTGATTAATTTTCCATTAAACATTAATTAAAAATGTATTACTTTCTCACTATGTTCTTGCTATGATATGAGGCTTCCTCTGCAAGCCATATATTTGCTAGCTTTACACTTTGGGTATTCAGACAACCTGTGAATTGTGCCAAAAATGATGATCCTTTCATCAGAATTAAGGCAGGCTTCTGTAAGGCAGTGATGTTAGTATTGGCATCAAAGTCTTCGCACTATCTAATCCTCACAATAGCAGAGGAAGATGAGCCCTTTTATCCCTGTCGTCTTTGGTCCACAGTGAGCAGATCACCAGCATAACTCAGTGAAAGGAAGGAAAGAAGACCAGGGAATGGAGAAATATCTAGAAATAATTGATGGTTCACCAGGTAGCTTCTGATTTGCTTACTCCTTATGAAAACCATGTTCTTACTAAATGCAAATGAATTACTAGTGTAATACAGGCTTTTTGTTTTGTGTTTGTTTCATTCTTTCATTATCAAAATCTCCTCCTGCTCACTTCACATGATTCTAGTAACACTAAACAGGTGAACATCTGGCCTGTGGTAGCCAATCCGAGTATTTCATCCCTCTGGACTCACTGATAAGTCCAAGGGTGAACATATGACTGAAGCAGGGACAAGTGAGGTCTTTTCACAGAGACAGAAACAGATGCTAGGAGAGATGCTCTTTCCTTTTGAGACTGTGAGTTGCAAGTAGCCTATGAGTCTGGAAATGCCAGGGTCCGGCTTTCTGTACACATAGAGGATGAAGCCAACACAGATGAAAACAGAGATAAGACAAACAAAGGAAAGGAGAGATGATGTATGCTTCTTAAATACGGACGCAATTATGTCTAAAGATCAAAACATAGTTTTTCCAGGCTTTTGAGCTACTGTTATTTACTTTTTTATGTATTTATTTTTGTTCAGTTAGTCTGAGTTGGGTTCCATCCCTTGCAACCAAAAACTCTTGGTGACCGTAAATATCACAAAAGGCAACACTGTGCCAGTCTTAGTAATTCTCATGAGGTAGTATCATGTGTGACAAAACTTCAAGAGCAATATGAGTAGTGGTCCTCAGGAACTTGTATCCCATGGTAGGGTCTGGAATATAGCTCTAGTATCCTACCTATAGGCCTCTGTTTGTGATAGTTCGAGCTCAAAGTCACCACTGTGGCAAGTAACTGATATGATATCCTTTAGCCCTCTCTTAGTTTCCGGAAAACCTTCATGGCTCACTCTTTGCCTCTGAGGGCACTCCAGTCAAGAAATGAAAATGAGCAAAAAAGCATTATTCCCTCAGTTTAGACCTCCTGCCCTCATCCAAGAGAAAAACTGCAGACCTGCATCTGCTTATTCTCAACCCAGAAAACACTAGTGTTACCAGAGGGCTGTCCACCCTTCTGATACAAACAAATAGTGTCTGTCAGTAGCAGAAAAAGCCCTTGGATTTTAAGAGAATACTTGGCTGTATGCTAAGTGAGCAAACAAATCAGGCCTGCCCAAGGAACATGTCTCTAGAACTCCAATTGATCCAAAGAATGTGGCATATTTCTTGAGGCAGTTATTCACATACAAACCCAAGCATTTCCTTTCATTGGCATGAAGTCAGTGATGTTAGCAAGGAGTTTGGGGCATTTTCTGTTTTGCCTGCGAAAGCCATGTTAACAGGCAACATTTATACTCTTTTGACTGATGTTATTTAGTGCAATCCAAACCATCAATGCTCACTGACGATATAACTGGCATTTGTGGCTGAGTGTGCGTTTGCCAGAAGGAATTCTTTCCCTCTGTCTTTTCCTAAATCCTATGACTTAAGTCACGTAGGATGACTTTCCTTGAATAAGGCACTTCATAGATGAAATGTAAAAGTAGCTTAACTTCACAGTCTAATGTGACAGGACCTCTGCAG